AGAAGCAACCAGCAACCAGAAATTGTGTAAAGAAAAATTGAACGTGTTTACTTTAAATACCAAAAATTTGAAGTTTGTAAAAACAGTAGTGCTTTAGCAGCACAATGAAAAGCAAAATAAAAGTTGTGCAATTGTTCAGCGTGAGTTCAACCGCCTTTCTATTATTAGAGCAGTTTTTAATTGGTGGCATATAGTCTCTTATACCTGTTTAAAAAAAGTCCTCAACTCAATAATTGTTTGAGCAGCTGTTAAATGTAGATAGGGCCTTGGATAAAGCATGAGTTTATCACTGGCAATACAGTAGCAATGTTGCTCTCTTAGAGATGGCCTGTGGATGATTTTCCTTGCACTGCCCAGCTCCTTGCAAGCTCCAATTATGTTGTGTAAAACTGCTCCAGAGAAATACGATATGACTTCTCAGATTCTTTTGCCCAAATGTGAATTAAAATGGGAAAGAATAAGCTTTTATGGACTTAACAGCTTTGTCCAGAACCTAAGCTCTTCCACCTTCATGCTAGCAAGACAAAGAGGAAGTGTTCTACAAACCTCTTCTTCCAGATTGTTTGAACTGATTTTGTTTTCATAATTTCAAAGGATAGCATTAGGCAGCCTGACTGGATCTCATTTCCCCCTTCAGCTGAAGGCTCCTTAAATTTCAGCTTGGTGCAGTGCCTGTATCTCTAGTTCTGCAGTTCCACAGAAGGTTAACCAGTAAAAACACAGTCAAGGAAAAGGTGTTGTATTTGCAGCTAGCTGTCCTTTCTGGAGTCACTGATGAAGAGCTGTAACAGTGCTTCACACACAAAGAACAAACCGAGAAAGCCTAGTTTTAGTTTGGGTGCAATAACTGAGCATGATTCCTGCAAATTTGTGCCTGTGTGTATAACTTCAGACAATTCTCACTATTTTTTCTTTTCCAGACTCCATGAAAACAGAAGGCTAGTTGGGATGGCAGTCAGACTAAGTGGGTGAGTTTATATATAAAACTGACTAACTTTGGATTTTAAATATTTGCAGATTTGTTAAATACAGAATTTCTTATTGGTGCCAACAGCCTGACTCCGTTGGTGTTTAAGTGGAGCTCTGGTATTCTAGTGCATTCTTTTACCTCTGCTTCTGTTGCGTTGCAAGCTGTGCTAGAGAAGACGTAGGAAATTCATTTTACCCAATCAGCAATTGTAACAATGGACTACAAACCTGCAGAGCAAGCCAGTTTGCTGGAAAACAGGAATTCCTGCAGCGCAGCACTTGTCACAGACTATCCAAAGAGGGCAAAGATTCAGGAAGGTGAATAAATTGAACATTGATTGAATGAGGTCAGGAACAGTCTCCCGGAGGAGAACCCTGCCCTAAAATACTACTTTGAAAGTATAAGCCAATTTAATGCGCAGATTAACCCTTCTCATTTGAGCAAACTTGTGTGCAATCCTGGATCTTTGCAGATCACAACCGGACACTTCAAAAACCTATGTACTATATTTGTTTAAAAAAAAAAATAAATCATAACTTGTCTTGTTACAGCTGTTACTTTTACCATTTCATTGAGAATATCTGCAACATAAATGTATATTTGACTTGAAACAGTATCATACACTTGGTATAATAACTCAGGTTGTCAACAGAATTATTCTGTGAGGCTCAATATTGCCTCTCCATTCTTCTCTGAAAAATGCATTAACCATCGCTGTCATTGCCAGAAATCAGTTATAGCCCAATTGTGCATTACAAAATTCTTGACCAAATATAATAATTGACCTAAATTATTATCCTATTTTTATCCTTATAGAATATTTAAGATCCTGAGCATCAGACTAGACGTTTGTAGTCTGGTGTTCATGAAAATCACATTGACTTGTTCACGGTTTAATCATTCTACATCTCAGTATTTTGTTTTCTTTTCCTTTTCCCTTGCATACGAGGGAGTATGATCAAGGTAATACTATGATCCAGTAATGCGCATGATGGTAAGGGTATGCCTTTAGTTGTTTCAGGAAAAAGCTGCCATTATCTGCTCTCCTTTACCCTTCTTGATAGTTTCAATAACATGCATAACATGAAGTGTTTGTAAATTGATACTAAACTGTTTGTGACCTCACCTAAATAAATTTTTATATATAAAATCTTCGCCTTCTTTTTTCTCCCTTGTTCTTATATTGCCGCTTCCCCTTTTGTAATCACTTTTTTCCATCACGTGACCTTTTACAAAGTTTCTGGTTTTCAGTTATGAAAGCACAACTGAATCTTAACTATCGACAGAAGACAAATTGGTCTTTGAAACTTGCTTTCAATATTTTGCATAAAGGCTTGATAATGTTGTAACTGTAGTTATCATAGCTTATTTGTCTTTGACAGTTGTTGAGACAACGATAGGTATCAGACCTTGATCTGTCTGAAAATGAAATAGCTGCTGTACTGAAATACCAGTATTTTAATGGCCTCCAAACTGGGACTCTGATCCAGTGAATGCTGAGCTGTCTGTATTTAGTACAGTAGAATATAGAGCACTCTGACAAATGGAATTACAAGTTATAAAAATACCTTTCATTGTTGAGAAGGGGCTTAAGCTCAATAATTAGATCCCTCATGACATTTTTCCTTTGTCCTGTTTTCTTAAGAAATCAGAACTCCATTACTTGCTGGTCTGTGCTGCATCTCTTCACTATCATTGCTACACGTGAACCACCATAGCCATCTTCTTCTGAGGAAGTGCTGTAATAGTGGCAGGATTTTGGGGGAGGCACAGGGAGAGGGTGATGGGGAGTGAGGAAGGGTGAGCAGACATTGGTCTCCTCAGTCCCACTGATGAATTGCACAAGTGTGGGTCTTAACCTACTGACTCAGAGCAGCAAAGCAGCAACAGTTTTGTTTTTCTTGCCCTATTTGGGAGCAGCATTCCCAGCTGGAGTCTGAAACACTTCCTAATGTTCTTCGCCGAGTCCTTCTGCCAAGAATTTGTTGGGTTGGTTTGTTACTCTCTCCAGTCTTCATGCAGTCTGGTGCCCTTCCTGGTATGCTGTCACCTCCCAGTTTCCTGGTTGCTACTGGTGCTAGGTTGGATCACCCTGTCTTCTGCGTCTGCTGTAGACAATTGCCAGGGCTCTGCCTTGCTTTCCAATGTCAGTGGCTGCTTTCAAACTGCTCTCTGCTTTCATAAAGAAACTTGCCTTTCAAATTATTAGCACTGGTGTTTTTACAAGATGTGGGACTTTCCCCTCCCCTCCTTCCTTTTTTTTTTTTTTTTTTTCCCCTTCTTCATAAACTTGGCCTTCATCACTGTCTTTGACCCACCCGGTAACTTCCCTATGGCACTCGTGCAGCCTTGCTTCAGCATTTGTTGTTGCACGTGTGCTTTCCCCCTCATTGCTGCGTTGTAAGCTTCTGCATCAAATTTCCTTGTCCATTAGTGTCTCATTAAAAGTTGCACTTCAATGGGTTTCTTCAAATTCCAACAGTTGGTTACTGCGTGGGTTTGTGTATGTCATTGGCACCGGGTGAATCTTACCTTTACGGCTCCCAATCTTGTCTTGCCCTCGTTGAGTCAGCGTGCTGGCGGTGTTGAAAGGGTGGTGCAGAATTGCATATCCTCTGCTCATCGCTGATTTATGACTAGATTTCTTTTGGTGATTACAAGCTAAGCTTGCTGTCATTTACATGGTATGGCAGGCAGCACGGAGGTGCTGAAGATGCCTGCTGTCTGAAGGCAGACGTTGAGGATAACCCTTTAACTACGTGATGTGTGAAGATAGAGCATGTGGTCAGTAAGAGGCTTAGCGTTGAAATGAACCATGATTCTGTTATTTTTTTCAGTAACTGTGATCTGCAGCAGAAATCAGTGATACACAGGAATTTTTTTTTTTATACTATTTTTCTAAGTCCTATTACTTAGCAGGGGGGGATGTCCTCTTTGGTGTTGCTGCAATTTCTTACACTTCTGTCAAAAAATCTTGAGCATTTGTACAGAGTTGCAGCAAAGCTTTTCACCAAGGCTGATGGATTTCCAATTGGGAATACTTGTAAAATGTGTGGGAATTTATTTGTTTGGGAGGACCATCACCTTATGGAAAAACAGTTTTCTGTCGGTTGAGTACAATTAAGTAGCATGTACTTTTGGGGGGTAATTTCAGATAAGTTTATTTTCAGGGATGTCTAGCAAGACAGGATTTTTTTTCACAGATGTGCTTTTTCATGTACGGGATTGATACGCATTGTTATTACAAAGAACAAATTAAAACCAGTGCAATAGGACTTTGACAGCACAAAATGTGTTGCAACTTAGGGATGTGACTAAAATACTTAAGTCTCTGAGCAAGCGGATGTGGCTGGGGAGACTAGAGTCAGGCTTCAGCAAAAATAAAGTCAAATAAATGGGGTTTCCAACTTCCACCTATGTGCAGCAGTTAGGTTTGAGATATTTGTAGCATCTGAAAAAATGAGACGGTGTTACTACTCTTCTGGCCTCACTAGTATAATGATGTGTCTTCAAAGGCAAGATGACAGCAGAACATGTTGCATGTGGGCCTGTCACATCTGCTGTGGAGCAAAACGTTACTTACCTGAGCTCTAATGAGATCCTGTTGGTTATTCGTGTGAATTCCAATTTAAGCTTAAACCATTGCTTTTCCATCTTCTTCTTTCTCCCATCAATTTGTTTTCTTCATTATAAAAACCTGGTGAACACAGCAAGGGTGTCCTCAGGGCCAGCCATGGGATGAGGCAGTGTCCAACCGGACTGTCTGCATGTACGGAGCCTTTCCCCACATGTAAGTAGTTCTGCCTAGGTAGGTATGGTCTAGCATGAAGACATTTACTATGTGTCTAAGCCTGCCCGGATGGAGTGCATGTGGGAGACCTTCCCAGCTGCCTGCAAGGTTTCATGTGTTTTTGAGAAGCTGGTGGCATTAACAACAAACCTTTCTGTCCACTCCTGTAGTAAAATCAAAACCAAAGCCTGGAGACTGTTGTAACCATTGAGGGGAGTGATGTGAGTCGGTGCTAACAGCCTAAGATGTTTGTGGAAATGTTGCCTAGTGAAGTTACCAAACATTTTGGGGGGTCATATGCTTAATAGGGACTGCAGCAAATAATGATGTCTATGGGAGTGCTTTTGGCAGTTCTTTCTACAAGGAGATTATGTCCTTGAAAACTCAGCTGGATAAACTGTAAAGGTAGATTTTGATTTCCCCCTCTTGTTTTGGCGTTCAGGTGTGTTACCCTATCACAAAGTTCGGTATGCATTAGTCCAGCACAATTCAGCACATACATTTTTCATTGAATCATAGAGTGGTGTATTGGGTTTGCATGGCAAGGTTTTGGTAGCAGGAGGGCTGCAGGGGTGGCTTCTGTGAGAAGCTGCTAGAAGCTGCCCCTGTGTCCGATAGAGCCAGTTCCAGCCAACTCCAAGATGGACCTGCCACTGGCCAAAGCACTGCTGGCCAAGCCCATCAGTGATGGTGGCGGCGCCACTGGGATAACATATTTAAGAAGGGTAAAAAAAAAAAAGGGAACAGCAATTGCAGCCTGAGAGAGGAGTGAGAACACGTGAAAACCCTGCAGACACCCAGGTCAGTGCAGAAGAAGGAGGGGCAGGAGGTGCTCCAGGCACCGGAGCAGAAATTCCCTGGCACCCCCTGGGGAAGCCTGTGGTGAGGCCAGCTGTGCCCCTGCAGCCATGGAGCTCCACACTGGAGCAGATCTCCACCTGCAGCCAATGGAGGACCTGACACTAGAGCAGGTGGATGCCCAAAGGAGGCTGTGACCCTGTGGGAAGCCCATGCTGGAGCAGTCTGTTCCTGAAGGATGGCACCCCGTGGAAGGGAAAGGGACCCAGGCTGGAGCAATTCATGAAGAACTGCAGCCTGTGGGAAGGACTCAACGTTGGAGAAGTTCATGGAGAACTGTCTCCAGTGGGAATGACCCCATGCTGGAACAGGGGAAGAGTGTGAGGAGTCCTCGCCTTGAGGAGGAAGGAGCGGCAGAGACAATGAGTGATGAACTGACCACAACCCCAATTCCCCATCCCCCTGTGCTGCTGGGGGCGAGGAGGTAGAGAAAATTGGGCGTGAGGTTGAGTCCGGGGAATAAGGGAGGGATGGGGGGAAAGTGTTTTAAGATTTGGGTTTAGTTCTCATTATCCTACTCTGATTTGATTGGCAATAAATTAATTTCCCCAAGTTGAGTCTGTTTTGCCCATGGCAGTAATTGCTGACTGATCTCTCCCTGTCCTTACATCAACCCACAAGTTTCTCACTATACTTTCTCTCCCCTGTCCAGCTGAGGAGGGGAGTGATAGAGCGACTTTGGTGGGCACCTTGCATCTAGCCCAGGCACACAAAAAAAATACCGCTGCCTTTGGGCCTCTGCCTCTTAACGCAGAAACCCCCCTGCCATAGGCAGCAACATCTCTCACTAGACCAGGTTGCCCAAAGCCCCATCCAACCTGGCCTTGAACACTTCCGGGGATGGTGCATCCACAACTTCCCTGGGCAACTAGACAGGGAATGGATTGAGAGGATTTGGGGATGCTGGTTGATGAGAAGCTCAACAGGACCCAGCAATGTGCATCTGCAGCCCAGAAAGCCAACTGTGTCCTGGACTGCATCAAAAGAAGTGTGACCAGCAGGTCGAGGGAGGTGATTCTGCCCCTCTGCTCTGGTGAGTCCCCACCTGGAGCACATTCAGCTCTAGGGCCCGCAACATAAGAAGGACATGAACCTGTTGGAGCGGGTCCAGAGAAGGGCCACAAAGATGATCAGAAGGATGGAACACCTCTCCTGTGAAGACAGGGTGAGAGGGTTGGGGTTGTTCAGGCTGGAGAAGAGAAGGCTCTGGGGAGACCTTATTGCAGACTTCCAGTACCTACAGGTGGCCTGCAAGAAAGCTGGAGACGGACTTTTCAGCAGGGCCTGTTGCAATAGAGCAAGGGTAACTGTTTTAAACTCAAAGAGGGTAAATTTAGGTTAGATATGCGCCATCCCCGGAAGTGTTCAAGGCCAGGTTGGATGGGGCTTTGGGCAACCTGGTGTAGTGGAAGGTGTCCCTGACCCACATGCAGGACCTTGCCCTTGGTTGCGTTGAACTTCATGAGGTTCGCATGGGCTCACCTCTCAAGCCTGT